TCCTGCCGCCTGAAGACGCCGGAACTGTTAGGATTTATTCCAGATTTTACATTTAGTTTTTGCTGCTTAGTTTTTCTTTAGGTAGTTAGTTTTGTGGCTTTTCCTATAGCCATGTATTTCTTTATATAAGCCTTTTCTGAGCTGTATTAGGTGTCCAAAAAAAAAAAGAAAAGAAAGTATTTCTCTGTTTCTCTTCCTCAGTTTTTCCATTTTTCTTTTTCTTCCTGAAGAAGCCGATCAGGCTTCTTGTTTTTCAGCTCTGTTAATCAGGCGTTTCATGATCAACATTTGGTATCAGAGCCACCTTCCATTTTCTTGCTTTGGGTTCCGATCTACTTCTTCCTCAAACTCCATTTTTTCTTCTTCTTCATTCGCACGGCACTCCTCACCGGAGAACCACCTGGAAGAACGAAGTTCTTGGAGCCAAGAAGATCCGATCTAGATGAAGCAAGGATCGACGGAAGTGTTATAGTTCGTGTAGAGGTGAGATCGCTGGAGGCGTGAGGTTGGCGAAGAGCAGGGCACGCGCAAGAAGTCGTGTAGGCTGTGTGAGCCGGAGGTGCTCACGGGAATAGTAGGCGCACGATGGTGTTGCACACGGAGGCTGGCCAGAGACGGGCCGGAGGTGAACGTGGTGCGAGAAGGCGGCGTGAGGCGTGCAAGGCGCTGGACTAGCGCTTGGAGCGGCTGGGCGCGGAGAAAGCACGGGAGGAGGCTGCTCGGGATTTCGCCGGAGGGAAGCTGTGGCTGTGTTAACGGTTTTTTGAACCGTTAAGCCGCAAAGCAGCACGCCGAGGATCAGGAAGTGTTGAGGAGCAAATCGCACATAAGGTTTCTTTTAAAATCTTGATTTCTTCGTCATGTCGATGCAAATTTTGGAGATCGACAAGTTCAAGGGAGAGAATGATTTCAGTCTGTGGAGGATCAAGATGAAGGTGCTTTTAGTTCATCAAGGCCTCTCCGATGCAATCTTTGAAGAAAATTTCGCTGCAATCACCGACAGAGCCAAGGCGAGAGAAATCCAATTGAAAGCGCACAGTATCATCCTTCTCTCTATCGGTGACGAAGTGTTAAGAGAGGTTGCTGAAGAAGACACGGCATTGAAGGTATGGAGGAAGCTAGAATCAATTTATATGAAAAAGTCTCTTACAAATAGATTGTTGTTGAAGAAACAATTGTATACACTCCAAATGGAAGAAAATCAAGAACTCCGGAAGCATTTGGACGATTTCAATAAATTGATTCTTGACCTCAGAAATGTGGATGTGAAGATTGACGAAGAAGATCAAGGGATCATACTCCTCAGCTCTCTATCGAAGACGTATGAAAACATAGTTGACACTATGCTGTATGGTAAGCAATCTTTGACATTGACGGAGGTTAAATCCGTTTTAATGTCAAAAGAAGTTCAAAGGAAAATTGAACATAAAGAAGACAAGAATGGCAACATTCTAATCGCTAGAGGAAGATCAGAATCTCGTAGGATCAATGCCAACAGGAAGTGCTATCATTGTAATATAGAAGGGCATATTAAGAGGTTTTTTCCAAATTTGTCTCAAAAGGTTGAACCAGAAATTAGCTTGGCCATAGCCGCAGATTTGGGAGACGGCTGGACATATTCTGATGTTTTGTAAAATCTGGATTAGGGGGTTGATTGTTAGGATTTATTCCAGATTTTACATTTAGTTTTTGCTGCTTAGTTTTTCTTTAGGTAGTTAGTTTTGTGGCTTTTCCTATAGCCATGTATTTCTTTATATAAGCCTTTTCTGAGCTGTATTAGGTGTCCAAAAAAAAAGAAAAGAAAGTATTTCTCTGTTTCTCTTCCTCAGTTTTTCCGTTTTTCTTTTTCTTCCTGAAGAAGCCGATCAGGCTTCTTGTTTTTCAGCTCTGTTAATCAGGCGTTTCACGATCAACAGGAACTCTGCCGGATTTTCGGGAAACGCCGAGAATTTGCATAACTTTTTAACTTTGTGAGAAGTTGATTGTAAATTGATCGTCTTGATTTGTAAGACGGATCAACCTTTGTACTTCAAACAAATACTAGTGGAATTTTGCTACTGGGCGAGGCCCCGTGGTTTTTTCCCTCTTTCGGGTTTTCCACGTAAAAAATCTTGGTGTTCATTTCTCTTTTCTGTTTGTGTGCGGAATACTCGTGCAACGCTAAGACGAATATTTTCTAACTCTACTATCGCGTATATTCTAGCACGCAACAATTTTATTATTAGTAGTATTAGCAGTAGTATTATAGCACGATCCAAAATGTCAACATCAAAATAACAAGCCTATTTTTTAGAAAGATTAGTTCCAACAAGATTGTTATCAAACATAGGTAGAAAAGTTTTAATGTTTTATAGTAGATATTGTTAAAGAAAGCAATAGCCTTTTTAATTATTAATAAGGAATATTACCAATTTTAGTGGAGTAGGATCTGATATTATTCCCCCCAGATTAAGCTAACAAGCCTTAGCCCATTGTTGTCAGTAGAAATGTTTTTGATATGGGTAAATTCTTTTATATTTTTAGGAAAGTAATCTCCTCTCAATTATGACATCATAATTAAAGGAATCATTATTAAGAATCATGAAAATCTTTCTATTAACTTAATATATGCGGTCACAACTCATGATAAGAGAGAATAAGGCTTCGTTTGGGATAAATTTCTTACTGTTTTTTAAAGTAATTTTCTAATATAAAATTTTTAATTTTTGTAATAAAAAATTCTTTTAAAAAATAGTAAAAAAGCCGTGTCAAACGAAACCTAAAGCTCCAAATACAACATGTTTATACAGTTAATATGAAGCTTTTATGATTGCAAGAGGTTACTAGTTAATTAGAAGCATCTCTCTCTATCTCTTAGTTTGCTCTTATTAATATGAACCTTTTATGATTGCAAGTGGTTACTAGTTAGAAGCATCTCTCTCTCTCTCTCTCTCTCTCTCTCTCTTAATTTGCTCTTATGACCCCAATTTAATATTAACTCCAACTAATATAGAAAAAAAATATTAATGAAAAGCATCTCACATACCATTCTCATTAATGACAACTTTCTTGCTATTTTATAAAATAGCTTTAAAGCACAAAAAAATTTAGTTTATGAAATTTTTTTTTATTAAAAAAGTATATTAGAAAGTAATTAAAAAGATGTCACAACCAAACCTAAATTATATCATTCTGAGATTTGACAAAGTGAATGTTCTTTTACGACAGCAAAATTAGGCCCAGAACCAAAAATAATCTGGGCTAAGATAGAAGCCCATGAGACCACTTTAGCCTGGTTTCTCTTAAGCGCTGACGTCTGCAATAAAGTATTCAGCAAGGAGCGCAATTCCTGCACGAGCCATTCACCAAGGTTTTGAAAACTGGACCGGACCGGCCGGTTCAACCGGTTCGACCGTGAACCGGTCTGGTGGCCGGTCCGATCCAGCTTCAGAACCAGCTCTCACTAGAACCCCTCCTCTCTTTCATTAACAAATAAACTAAAAGAAATCAAATAATTAAGCCCATAAAACTTCTTTCACGTTAATTGTCATTCTCTTATTTTTCTAATCATAATCATATTGCTAATTACTATGTACTAATAACAATAATCTTTTTAATTAATTTTCTAACTATTTTGATGCTATCTTAAAGCTTCGTTTGGTTTTTTTCCCGTTCCGGTATAAAAAACGCCAATAGGAGAAAGGGTTCTTTTTAAAACGGAGAAGCTAATAAATAATGCTTCTCAAAACAATACAAAAACGGAGTTTTTAAAAAAGTCTGCTACACATCCAAACATCTTCCACGTCTAAATTGTCCAGTTTCAAACGAAAAAAAAAAAAAGAGAAAAACGGAGAAATACCATGGAAACAAACGAGCCCTAAATAACCTCTACATGCTGCGGCGGCGTTGAAACTTTTCCCAAAAAAAGGAACAGTTCGTAAATTATTCCCTGTGATTAATTTAAGCATCTACTTATGTGCCTTATGACCATCGGCAACTCTTACTGTCTACATATCTTGTGGTCCCCCTCTGTGGATCAATATTCCAATTGCCAGTGTGAAACTGATTATACTCCGCATTAGCCAATCAAAACGATCTGAACTCAGTTCCATGACCCCACTTGGCCTTCATGGGCCCACCGAATTAATGATAATAATGATTAAGCAAATAATCATAAACCCTTAACATTATTGAATTTTTTAGATTATTTACAAAATTACATAAATTTTTTTAAAATGGATATCTACCCGCTGCCACTCTAAATTAAAAAAGTATTTGATGGCATAAATAATCCGTCAGGTGAACCCAGCGAGCTCGAAAAAATGAGTTTGTAATAGGGGGATTCAGGCTTCGTTTGGGACTGCTTTTTTATTGCTTCTGAAAACGGAGTTTTAGTACAAAAATTAAAAAATTTGTACTACAACTCCGTTTTAAAAAGCAATAAAAAAGCCGTCCCAAACGAAACCTCAAATTCGAAATGGGGGTTCTTAATCAAGCTAATCAACTAACCACCATAAATCTCTGTGGGTAAATTACATAAATTTTATTTGAGTTTATGAAAATAAAAAACAGTATATTTGCCTCAAAAGCTGCGTTACGATGAACCAGCACGTCTAAATTGTAAAGCATAGACGGAAAGCCTGTCACCGTCTAGACTTTTCTGGAGGGATTAAAAAGATATTATTCCTCGTGGCTAACTGGTTCCAGCGGACTACAACAATAGTTTCCATGCAAGCTTGCGTTTCTTAAGAAGCGTTCAAGATCGTTACACGTTCCCCTAGAGCTATATATAATGAACCATGATCAATTTCTATGACGTTAAACATCAATATATGCAATAATTAAACATCGTTAATTAAGCCTAATGAAGACAAGGTACTTGTTATTCTTCTTTATAAAGACCTCACCAACAACTTCCTGCCGTCCTCACCACCCCCCTCTCTCTCTTCCACACACTCTTTCCTCTCTCATATCATACCATACTACAAACCTAACTTTCTCTCTCTTCCGCCGACTCTGCCATGGTGGAAGAATCGAGCAACATGGATAAGAGGATAAACGGAAACCAGGAGGCTGAGGTGAGGAAGGGGCCATGGACTATGGAAGAGGACCTCATCCTCATAAACTATATAGCCAACCATGGAGAGGGAGTATGGAATAATCTTGCCAGATCTGCAGGTGATTGAGATGCAAATATTTCTTGAAGGATTTTTATTTTTTGAGTTTGAGAATGATTTGATTGATTAAGATGATATACATATTGGTGGGTTTTATGAGAAGGTTTGAAGAGAACAGGGAAGAGCTGCCGGCTTCGATGGCTGAACTATCTGAGGCCAGACGTGAGGAGGGGGAACATAACGCCGGAGGAGCAGCTGCTGATCATGGAGCTTCATGCCAGATGGGGAAACAGGTGAGCTTCTTCTTACATGCATGCCCTGCATCCTCTTTAAGCTGTCATAGAAGAAACTATGAAAGTGGATAACAGAAAAGCTAAAAAATGGAATATTTATAAAGTTTGCCTGGTGTAGAAGTATAACTCTCTATCTATTTTTTTTCTATTAATCAATTCAATAATTAATTTTATGTCAGGTGTGGTCATGATAATCATACAGATGATTATAAAAGATTTTCGTTAAAATTATTCATCTATCAAATGATTTAAGTTTACTTTTTTTTTTCTTCTTAAAATAGAATTTTAATACCAAAATTTTAATTTTTATACTAAAATTATGTTTTACAAAAAAATTAAGAAGTCTTCCCAAACAAAGCCTTAGAGAGATTAAAGCTTAAATTGTTGGGAAAACTTTTTTATTCCTTTCGTAAGTAATTTTTCATTATAAAAATTTTTAGTTGAAAAAATCTTTTACTAAAAAATTAAAACAAAATTTTAGTACATAAATTAAAATTTTTATACTAAGTGTTAAATGGAAAGGATTCATGAAGAAGAAATTGATCAAGGTGAATATTCTTAATTTGTCTAAGTTCATAAATTATAGCCACATATTATTTATCTTTCATCATTTAAAAAAAAATGCTCAAAATCCACAAAAATATATGATTCTTATTTTCCCTTTTTATGTTCAGAAATTTATATATGAGTCAATTGAATATATAGCCAAACTGTCATCTTTACATATTTAAAACTTTGCATATATTAAACATTCAAAAGTTATATAAGGTATACAATAATTAAAACATAATACGCCCCTATAATCTCAAATAATTAGTGCACTAAAACAATAATCAGCGAAAGGGAAAATACATGTGTACTTTAGTATGACTTTGATAAATATATATCTGGTGTTTTAAATTTGCTGGTGACGCTTTTAGAATAACTATTAATTCATGAAAAGTTCAAATGAAGATAATGACTATAATGTCAATTGCAGAAAGAAATTGAGCATATGGAAAGAAGAAAGGGTGACCAAACTTTCCTTTTTAATTTATGATAATTTCTTTGACTGATTATAGTTCTTATTTTTTTTTAGAAATCATTAAATTTGGGTTGGAATATGTGAATCTATACTTGCTGACAGTCAATCAAAATTTTATATACAATCATTGATAAAATCTGATTGATTGTCCATACGTACAATTTGGTATTCTCTTCATTAAAAAAAACTACAAGTAAATCAAGCAATTTATAGATAACTAAGGCTTCATTTGGGATGACTTTCTTATTGCTTCTCAAAGCAGCTTTTTACGTACTATAAAATTTTTCTTTTTTTAACTAGAAAGCGCTACTTTAAGAAGCAACAAAAAATCTGTCCCAAACTAAACCCAAGACTTTATTTGGAACGACTTTCTTACTGTTTTCTAAAGCAGTTTTCTAGTACAAAACTTTCTAATTAAAAAAAAATTAAAACTAAAAAACTTCTTTAGAAAGCAATAATAAAGTTGTCCCAATCGAAACCTAATTCTATTAAATATATACATGCATATGACTTTCATTAAACATAAATAATAATAATAATAATAATAATAATATGACTTTCATTAGACATTCTTCACAAATTCCTGGATATGATACTAGTTTTGCTAAATGCATGAAAGAACAAAATGTTTCCCTTGAAATACTATAAAAATCCTCCACATTATGCATGTGACTTCTGCTAGAAAAATGAAAAAAGATGGCCGGAGGTTGTAAGTGCCCTGAGGAAAAATAAAATAAAACAAAATATGAACATTTTGAGCGAGCAAATTTCTTTTACATTAAATTAATTGAAGGAAAGTAAAATGAGAACAAAGAAAACCCCGCATTAATTTTCCTACAATACAGTACTATTAGCAGCGAAGAATTACTTAAAAATAAATAAATTGAGAAGGATCACCTGAGCTGGGATTCTAGAAGTCGGAGAAACATGCTAACAATGGAAGGGAAATTACCCTAAACATCTGCAACTTCCATTCTTTATATCAGAGGAATGCAAAAGAGAGAAATGCTTACATATATATATTTATACACTTACAGCTCTCTGCAGAGATTAACAGATATTTTCTACAGTTCTAAATGTACGTGAAATGAGATGTTAGTTTGCCCAATCTTATGCCCTATCGATCACAATGACGAACTAACCCTTGGATATTTATTTCCCAAAGTCTTAGCATATTTGGAAAGCATTTTTTTGTGACCACCTAATTATTTGGCAAGGTTACTATTTCAGAAAAACTTTTCCTCCAAGCTGTGGGAAGCAGAAGATTTCATGAAAGCAATCAACCTAACATGCTGTCATGTCGTATAAATGGCCTAGATGCTAATGAATCATGATCCACTTGTTTTATTTGGCATGCAATAGGGTAAAATCACATGTCTAAAGGACTAAATTAATCACCTAAAAATAATTAATATGCTTTATATAAGTTCAAGCAAAGCATGTACTTAAATGCCTTTTACAAGATTTTAACTAACCTCTCAACATCAATGGCTAAGAAAATTGAGGAAACACTTGCTCAAGAATATTTTCTTTTCTAAGTTTAATTGGGGATAAGATTAGAAAGAGTCGCCTTAGATGGTTTGGTCACATAAAGCGGTGGCCTTTTGATGATCCGGTTAAGAAAGTAGATGCATTAGGTTTGATCACTTATGTTAAGAAAGTAGAGGTAGACCTAAAAAGACTTGATTAGAAATGTCATTTTTTTATTATATTTAGGCTTTGTTTAGGACAGATTTTCTCCTACTTTATAAAGCTGCTTTTTAGTTTTTTTTTTTTTTTGAATATTTTACTAAAAAGCTGCTTCATAAAGCAGTAAAAAATTGTCTCAAATGAAACCTTAGATGAGAATTTTACTCTTAACATGACACAATGAAGAAAAAGGATTCATGTAGCCGACAAACATAGTGAGATAAAGATTTGTTGTTATTGAAAGTTTAACTAGGGATTTCAATATTTTTGCTTATGAAATCTTATTAGATTAATGTAATTATTTTGCTTTTACTTTGCTAGAAACCAATCAAGATGATTATAAAATAATAAATTTATAGAATAGAAGAACTGTCTTAACAGCTTAGAAAGAATTATCAATGTAAAAGTATATACTAACATATTGGAATTAATTAATTCCACCCTCTTCGACTTTATGATCTAATTACACTTTAAAATTCATTTCTTTCTCCCACGAGGTGGTCAAAAATTGCAAGGCAACTTCCAGGGAGGACTGATAATGAGATCAAGAACTACTGGAGGACTAGAATTCAGAAGAAGGTTAAGAATGGCGATGCAGCCGATTACTCGAGCCAAATGATCATTGATGAGGCCAGCACAAGCCATACAAGTAGCATTGAAGAAGGAATAGCTCAGCAAAGTTATCCCGTTCACCCAAATACAAATCCTGAAGGTTATCCTCCTTCATACAACACTGGTGAATTGGGAGAGAACTTTTGGAGTGTGGAGGATTTCTGGTCAATCCAATCTGACCAATCTCTTAATGGTGATTAATTAAGTTAGATATCAAGAAACCATCATGCTTATATGTAAGAACTATTGATGAATGAGGTAAATGGCTTTGATCAGCTTCAGGAATATATATAATTATATGATTGTGCTGGTTAGTAATGCATAAATGTCGCGCTTGTATTTGTACAAAAATTGCTAATTATCATGGTTACAATGTAATAAATCAAGTGAGAGATAGCAAGCGCTTGGTTTGCTTAACTATTACATGTAGCATCAGGAGCTAAAGATTTCATAAGACTCAAATAATTTTGTATAAATGTTCTCTGAACTTTCCAAGGAATATGGCAAGCTTTTTAACTAATAATTTCACATTTATATTGTTTTCAACTTCTTAATTAATAGCTCAACATTTTGTCGTGTCTGAACTGGCCAATAATTAAAGTACTAAAGGTTTAACTATCAAAATCATGTTTTTTTTTTGGGAAAATTAGGAGCAATGCCCAAACGCACACAATATTTATGCAAGACTCGAATCCAACACCTCTTAGTTGGGAGTCAAACTCCCAACCAACCAACAAATCAAGAAGAGCTACATATCAAAATCATGTCATATAATCATGTTATATATAACATGTTCGGATTCTCTTTTGTTTGGTCTTTATTGTTTTTTAATCTAATCAACCTCGTCGTATTAACTAAACTAACAATTAAAACTAAACCGGGTCACTTTGGAGCGCTACTATATTTTAGAGCTCACTTAGAGATGAATTACATCATTTTGGAGCATTATTGTATTTTGGAATGAAAAATAAGTTTTTCGATTGGAGATCGATGCCCTTACGATGTATATTGATCACTTGAAAATAAACAATGCTAGAGCTTAAAAAATAACAAAAAGAGTAAAGATTTAGCAAATCCATTGTAGTTTTCTTTTTGTAGGTTTGGTGGATGGATTTATGTTTTTGATGGGACACCGACTGGTCGTGACCTTTTTGGTAGATGTGGTTTGATCTTCATTTTTTGCAGGAAGTTTGTGCTAACTGAGATTCTTTTGCTCTTCTTTTTTTTTTGGTGCTATATACTTGCAGACCTAGAATGTTCTTAGAAAATTTTGTAAATTTTAGTATAAGGAACTATCGGCTTGTAGGTTTTATTTTATTTTATTTTATAGTTTTTTCGAACATTAGTGAGCTGGAGGTTCCTTTTAAGGACCTTGTAACCTTTTTTTTGTTATTAATCCATATGTCCCTCCGTAGGTTTTATCAAAAAAAAAAAGATAAATATATAATAATGAAAAAAAAACTAGTTAATGCCTCACTTAATTATCATTTTTAGTCAATCTTAATATTTAAAATGGTAATAATTACGTCAAGCAAGTTTAATATTTAAAATGATAATAATTACAACCAGCCTCTTAAACAAAAATACATTCACATTATTTTGCTGACCATATGCACTGCTTCTAATGATTGTAATCCTTTGAAGCACATAAACTATTGGTGACTTCTCTCAAAAGTGCGACTAAAATTAGTAACCCTTCAGCCATATCATTTAATTAAGTAACAGCATCACTAAAAGTTTTAATCTATCTTTGTTGAATAAAGATAAAAAATGAGCTCAATATATTCCATACAACATCTTGTTCATAATGTAATACAGTTCAAATTGTTTTACTAGTTAGATTTCAATAATTTGCAAGATAAGTTGTAATATTTTTATAAAACAACTATTTTCTTACTTTGCTAATTATTTATCCTATAAAATATTTTGATTTACATTGCATCTTTGTCTATTTTTTTGTGCAAAATGTAATTTTTCCTTTATAAGAAGCCTTGATTAAAGCTATTAAATGAGCTAAAATAACCATACTCATTAATAGGGGTCTCTCATGTCAACATATGAACTTATTTATGAAAATTTATCATTTTTTGAGAGAAATTATATTTAAAATTCATATTTATTAAGATTAACACAAATTAAGTATGTAATGATTCATATTATTAATATTTGACAAGCTAGTTTTATGATGATTATCGACCACCTAACTTAACCCTTCACTTTTCTCATCCAAGGCTTGAGATTCCGATAATAACCATGTTAATTGAGCATTTCAATTCCAAAGCATAACCTTAATTCAAATTTCTACCCATCATACTAAATCATACCTCATTAAAATAATCAGCTCGACTTCTTTCTCTGAGATTTCGTTTGGGATAGCTTTTGGGCACTATTTTTCGCTAGTTTCAAAAATTCTTTGTACTAAAATGTTGCTGTAGAAATGATAAGAAAACTGTCCAAAACAAAACCTAAGTTTTCGTTCTAACAACAACGAGAAAACAAAGACGGTAATGATGAAGATGACGACGTAAAACACAACCTCCGTCACGCACCGCTGTCTAACCACACCATATTAGATGGGCATGCACGTGGAGGCATCTCTCATTGTCCCCTTCCCCAACTCAACAAAAACCAAGTTGCCAACCATAGCAAATGTGGCGTACCGAATGCCTTCTTTCTTGTGCTGCCTATTTCAGTGCATCATCATCAACAATGGAGGAGTCCCAATGTCTTGTAATTATGTATCTTGTGACCGTTGCCTAACTATTAGGCGCAACCCATTCCATGCCCGTTCAGCTATAGCCGACTACCTAATCTACCACGTGCTTGTCCACCACAAGCTTTATAGCGATAGGGACGATCCCATCTGATTCATCTCAGCCGTTGATATGCATCACGTGGGTGAATTGAACGTACGTGTGAGATCAGTTGATGGCACGTGCTTTTTCGGGAATTTTATTAAAGGAAGCTCAGGGGAGTTAGTTTCTTTTTTTGGAAAGAAGGTTAATACTTAGTGCTATGAGGGTTTTAATTGTGGATTTTAGTGATAAAAAATAATCGTTAAAATCGAAAATAAATAAATTAATTAATTAAAAAACCTATTTCTTTTACTTTTGTGATGCTTTCCATTTCAGAGAACGATTAAAGAGAATTTAATTTGGGCCCACAAAGGCCTAACGGAATGTTGGAATTGGAACTAGAGATGCGTAATGATGGAGGAATAAAGTTTTAAAGAAAGAGCATACGAGGAAAAAAATTATAATTAAATTAATTATTTTAAGATGTTTTTTAAACATGATAATTTTTTTCTTTTCATAAGATAATATTTTTGTGGTATAAAAATAATTATATTAATTGATATGATTTCCAAATAATTGATTTGATCGGATATTAATTTTCTTATATATTTGAATTAGAATTTTTGAAATTAAATTAAAGACCATTCAAACTTTAATTTTAGCATGTTTATAATCAAAATAAGTGCTTCAACTAGAAAAACCCATAGGCATCACTAGTGAACCTATTCGAGTTTAAATGAGCTAAAATCAAGTACTTTTGAAACACAATTAGAAACTTTAGGACATTAATTAGAGGAAAAAATGATATTCAAATATGACATGCTTATAATCAAATTGAGTGTCTCAATGAGATGAATCTAACAAGCATAAAATTATTTAATTCTGACATCATCAAGTCACTTAAACGCTGAAAAGAAAATGATACAAGGATATGAGAGATTTGAAGTTGCTAATGTTATTAAAATACCGCACTAAAAAGAACTATAAATAAGATTGTGTTTTCTATATGACTAGTTCGAGGATTAAGAGATTTGAAGAATTCTATCATCTTGCTTGAATATAGCCACTCATGAACACCATCAGCAAGCATCACCACCATCGCTTAGCTTGAAAAGCGTTGTTTTAATACTAAAATCCAACTCCGTCTTTTAACTTCAGTTGTCTGATTATTATGAGCTTAGAAAATTCATGCCCCAACCTTTCTGCGGACCCCTTTCTTTCTTCTTTAGTTTAGGGTTGTCGAGAAGAGTTTTAACAAGTTTCAAGACGAACTTTCAAAAGAGATTTCACCCTTATTTTTTGAGGACTTTAAGATCTGATTTCTAGTTTCCTATAGGTGCAAGTCCCTATAGTTAATTACCCCTCCCGATAACGAGAGAGAACTTTTGATTAAGGCTATTTGTCAAACATATATGAAGTGTTTACCGTATAAAGTAGCATGATTTAGGTATTTAGGAATTTAACATTTAAAATTAGAAATTTCACCACCTTCTACTTAAAGCAGATAGTGAGGGAATGGTGATGAGCCCGATAAAGATCTCATGGTTCCGTTGTCCTGGACTATCGTGGTCCCTAGTCTACTTAGTCAAAGGAGGTAGTCGACCCAACCTGATAGAAGGATCCATGTCGGTAGACATTAGTTGCTTTATCCAATAAAATCTTGTAGACCTTGGGTGGATATTTGTCTAAAGGGACAAATTTGAATCCACCTTAGCTAACAGAGGGCTTTGTACTCTATCAATCATATTCTATTGATTCATTTCTCAATGATTTGAATCTGTTGGAGAACATAAGGCCTCTAACCATGACCGTAATTTAGTGGTGCTTTTTGGCAGCAAAATCACATGGTCAATGGGTCCCGATCATAACCATTTACATGTAGTGCCATTTAGAGGAAAAACCATCAGTACATTGCCATTTGGTGATGAAATGTCGGTTAGAGGACATGTGCCACATCCTTACAGGCAAGAGACATATTGGGAATGAATCGTAGTGATATTCTTGACCAGTCATTAGATCTTTGCGAGATCAAGTAATTTTTAAATTATCCATTTCGGCAAATAGTTATGGAGGGTGAATGGATATTTTTTTGTTTTATGTGTTTGATGATTAATTTTAACTTTAAATATCTTATGTTTTGATTTTTTTTATTTTGAATTTTTATGGGCATTTAGGAGACATTATAAATATTTGTGGTTGTTAATTTGCAATTGAAATTTTTTGTGAACACAATCATTATTAGGTTTTTAATGGGTTGTTATATTTTAGTTGATAGAACCTTATTAACTCTATCAATTTATTAATTGAGAATCAGGTTTGTATCTAAATTTATTTCTTAACCTATGCAGCATCCATAAACATCATATATGTACCTACAACATGCTTGTTGGGGCCCATACAGGTATG